AGGCTGACGGGAAGGGGAGGGGGCTGACGGGAAGGGCTGGGGGCAGGGGAGGAGGAAGGGGAGGTCGGGGTGATGCCACTGGTCTGGGGGTGCCATGGGGCCCATGGTCCAGCCCCCAGCCCCCAAACAGCAATATACCACCCCCCCTGGTACCACCTCCCCATCCTAAGGCCACCAGAATCCTCCCCACCCGTGGGCAGAGGCTGCCAGCACAGCCCCCCAAGGCCCTGGCAGCCCCCGTGTGCCCCCCACACCCCCCTCCACTGACTGGTGGTGCAGGAGCAACTCCGGTCATCCCCACGCAGGGGCCAAGGGCATGGGGACACCCCCAGCACCAGGCCTGGGGGGCCCCGGGTGATGGTGGGGTGGGGGATGGGCTGGGACACTGAGGGTGGGCACTGGGGATGGGGCTGGTGCCCCCGGGCCAGGCAGGGTGCTATGAGGCCAGGGTGGGTGCTGGCAGGGAGGGGTCTGTGCCCCCAGCCCTGGGAGGCAGCGGGGTGCCCACCCCCATAGCAGACACTGGAGAAGCCCCAGCGGCTGGGGGCACTGGGAGGGGGCAGCGCAGTGAGCAGAGAGGGCTTCGATATTTATTGCCCCCCAAACACCCCCCTGTCCCGTGGCGCAGCACCCCCACACAAGTCCAGTAGAAAAATAGGATGCGGCAGGCACTGGGCTCAGTGGGGCGCCTCGGCGGGGGTCTCGGTGTCTGGGGGGGCTGCGAGGGGGGTGCCGGCAGCCCCCAGCTCCTTGGCTCGCCGCCGGCACTCGCGGGCCACCACCACGGGGCTGACAAAGGCCACCAGCACCACAGCAATGAGCCCCACGTTCACCTGGGGGGAAGTGTCAGGGCATGGGGCTGGGGGCCTGACCCCACAGCCCCCTCAGGCCCTCTGTGAGAGGCGTGGGATCCCCATTCCCCATGGGTCAGGATGCCCATCCCTCCATGGGGCAGGACCCCCACCCCACCCTGGAGCAGGACCCCATCCCTCCCGGCACAGGATCCCCCCCCTCCCGTGTGGGGCAGCCGTGGGGCAGAGACTCACGTAGAAGGGGTCCCCGTGGAGCGGCCCGCGCACCAGGGCGACGCAGGGGTACTGCAGCAGGGCCACCAGCGCCGACAGCGCCATGGCCAGCCCGTACAGCTTCCCGAAGTGCTGCGGGGGGAACCTGCCCGGCCACCGCCGCGTCACCACCACACCCTGACACCCCCACCCTGACACCCCCACCCTGACACCCCCCAACCCTGCCATCATCCCCTGACACCCCCTGACACCCTGTCCCCTCGTCACCCTGACCCCATCACCATCCCCTGCCACTCTCACGATGACCCTCCTGCCGTCCCCTGCTGCCACCACCCTGTCCTCCACTGGCCTGTCCCTTGCCACCCCGACCCCTCCACCTTGTCCCCTGCCACCCTCACTCTGACCCCACCGCCATCCCCTGCCACCCCTACCATGACTCTGCCACCACCACCCGGTTCCCCACCACCTTGTCCCCTGCACCCATCCCCTGCCGCCGCTGTCACCAAACCCTGCCACCACCACCCTGTCCCCTGCCACCCCGTCCCTACCACCTTGTCCCCTCCACCAACCGCCCTGTCCCAGCGGTGGCCACCAGACTCACGCGATGGCCAGGAAGGCGGCGTTGCCCCCGTAGAGGAAGGAGCGGCTGAGCACCTGCAGCACGAAGGTGGCGAACTGGACGGGCAGCACGGGCACGGCCGCGCAGATGGAGAAGAGCAGGCACTGGGTCACCGTCACCACCAGCGACAGCACGGACGCCCGCAGGTCAGCCAGCGCCCCCAGGGCTCCTGCGGGTGGGGAGGGGGGTCAGGGCATGGGGGGGGACACGTCCCCATGCGCAGCAGGGTCCGGGCACGGCAGCGGTGGCACTGCCCAGGGTCCCCGCTGTGGGCACAGGGGGGACACTGTGGGCACGGGGGGATGCTGGCAGCACGGGGGGGACGCTGGCAGCACGGGGGCTGCCCGGGGCCCGCGGGGCCAGTTACCCTCGGGGCGGGGGGCCTTGCCCCGCTTGTGGCGGTCGAGGATGAGGCCGTTCCAGGGGGCACAGAGCACCCCGCA